GCTCTGCTAACACTAAAAAAAAAAAAAATAGCGTAGCGGAGCAAAATCCGGATGGTACCCAGGCTATATTGAAAATCCAGCTTTACTGCCTAAAAATCACTTTTGGTGCCTATTAAACTACACTGTAAGTCAGTCAAAGCAGTTAAATTAAACTGATTGGAATAAAATAAACAACATAAATTACTAGACATAGTGTGCAGAATCCTCAGGTCCCATAATGCCGTGCTTCTCCTGCTTCTGAACTACCATGATGCTTTTCTTCAGCTGGGTCTCATATTGCTGTTCCCGTGACATGAAGTTCAAGTCTTCATGCTGGAAGTCAGGGTCATTCAGGGCAAGGGACTCTGGGAAACAAAGCCAGAAACTGATAAACAACAATTCAGAAACATCAGGCCTCCATATTAAGAAAAATACATGTACGTCATGTTTCTTGTATAAGAAGTCGAAAATCAATCATTAATCAAATCTAGTACTTATATGTATCAATTACTTGATTGTTTTAGCATTATATTGTAAATAAATGTGCAATGTATGAAATGTGCAATGCGTGCAATACTATACAGAATATATACTATACAGAGGGCACATTTTCAGCCTTTGGCTGCTTGTTTTGATTGATTGATTGTGTAATCACCTTTTGCAATCAGCTTTTTTATCATACACTTGGGAAACAACACTAGCTGTCAAAAACAATACCTCCATTCTTCATGGAGGTAATTAGAGTTAGAAAGGCAAGGGGTGTTGGCATTTAATACTAGTAAACCAGACCCCAAACCTCTGCTTGGAGCCACAGACCTCCATAGCACGCACTGAGGTCAACGTCCTACAGCACATTCTTGTCAGTAAACCTTAGTAGTAAGTCGCACGAGGAATTTTCCAGTAAGGAGAATGGTAATGGACCAAGATATATTCTTTTTCCTTACTAGTATTTCCTGCGAGCATAGCTGTCGATAGCCACGTAACCTTGGTAATTAATAGCCCCCATAAGAACACGCCTACAAGGTTTTACAACTTAAGCCAACAACTCGACTCGCCAACATTACAAGACGAATTTCTCAAAAGCAACTTACGATACAGACATAAACAACTTTTACCGAGTTTCCTCTTCCTTTTAACTCTGTCAGGACCTCCGTACAGAAGGTTAACGATCTTTTCGGGGTCGAAACTAGCCCCGTCTCTCTCTTTCTTCAAGTCAGGATTCATTTTGGCAGCCTTCTGCTGGGGTCAGGGCAGTCGTGTGAAAGGTCACTGCTCTGTTGCGCCCTCTTGCGGAATTTATGAGAACTTTTTATGTCTAACTCAAAGGCAATCTCCAAGCAGATCATACGGTGGTACGGCAGTATCCATTGGCCTCGTATGGACACTCCTCTGGTCCATGGATACTGCCTTGCTACCGTATGATCTGCTTGGAGATTAACTAAAAGCTACATTCCTAAATTTTGTGTATGTATTACCTAGAAAACATTGTTTTTCCCGCATTAACCTTCTTGCTGCTGCCTAGTACCACAAAAATTGTTGCCAAAGGGCTACCTTAAGCTTGGTAGGCTAAAAGTTAAACCTCAAATTCTAAATGACTAAATCTATATCTTATCTTAGCATTTATCTGTATTTATACAATGTAACCAGATACAAATATACTAAAAACTAGAGTTCCCCAATCTCATACCTTCGCCAAATGATGTTAATCTTTATGACTGACAAATTATAGATTGGATTATTCCCCCCTGATTTAAGAAATAGGAACCTAATTTTCATGAATTATATCATTTTATCATAATCTCAACCAAAAAAACAGTCTTATATTAACAAACAATGCATTCTAGTATTTCCTAATAAATTATGCAAATGAGGTCCTGATTTGAATAAATTATGTTTAATGATGTTCACCTCAATTTAACTTTCAAATACCACAAGAATGAAATTCCAGGCAGTTATCATTACATAATTATAAAATTTTCTCATTAATTATGCAAATTAGGTCATTACTAACATAATCAATATCTTCCTGTTTTTCTCTCGTTGTAAATTACCAATGTCACAAGCTTTAATTGTCCTATCATGGAATGCAGCTGATTTATAGAATTTCCCCATAAATTATGCAAATTATATCCATATTTGTATAATTGTTACATAATTATATGAAGGATCACGTAAGCTACCTACATACCAAAAATCACGACGATCCGTGAACCGGTTCTTGAGTTATCCCCTTTTGAATATTTTCAAGAATATATGGCTGCAGTTCCAGAGCAAGCCGCTAGGGGGCCTAAACTCACATCACTTCTTCCCCAGCACAAGAGCTACCTACCATCTAAATTTCATCACCATAGCATGTCTAGATCATGAGATATCAAAACCGGAAGTTCAGCTGCAGTACCATTTTGAGGTCTCATCAAGACCTACCCACCTACCAAGTATCAAGACAATCCATCAAGGCCTTCTCAAGTTATCGTGTTGACAGACAGACAGACACACACACACACACACACACACACACACACACATACACGAACGCCCCTGAAAACATAACCTTCTTGGCGAAGGTAAAAATCCACATCCATTCCACAAACAAATGAATAGAAAGCCATGAACTTGAGGAAAGGTTTATTTTTAACCATGGCGCCTTTAATACATTTCTTCAACAATCAGTGTTGCCTAAAACCCCATGCTGCTCACAGACATAATCAGAGAAGGGGTGTCATTGGGAGTAACCTAAACATGTTAAACATGGTTTCTATCTAACATTACTAGTATTCTACATAAACAATAAATAAAGCATGGTAGAACTGTAAAACACATGAAGATTACCTACAATTTGTTTATCTCCTAGCAGAAGTTTTGGCGGAAAAGTTTGAGATTATTGGACAGTGAGTGAGTGAGTTGGTCTTCTCTGATATCTGAGCTTTAACTGTAAGTAGCTGGAAAACCTCAGGCTCTTCCACCTAATATCTGCTTGGAGACTACCCCGGTACCAAGCTGGCCAACTTCCCATTTGTTTCACTAGGTAAAAATTTGACTCAATTTTGTTTCAGCTAACTTGAGAGCACAGTGAGACTTAAAACTGGTACAGTCTGATGTCCTTTCCCAAAAATAAAACTTCTCTTTGAAATTTGACGTTTTCCTGTAACTGAATGCACTTTGGTGGCAAAATATGTGAAAACAAACTCACACACATCTTTCAGTACTTGTAGAATACATGGCATTCTTTCTATCTCTGAGACTACTTGAACCAGTGACATTTAGATTGACCTAAAACAGAACACAATGTTCGAAACATGTTGCATATAATCAAAAACTATAGATAGTTCAGTGCAGAGCTTAAATGCTATGGCTTGAAATGAGGAGAGTCAAAATCCACCAGTACAGATTTAGCCTACAGGATGATGCCAGTTACGTATAATGATACACAATGAAGTATGTTTTGCTAGCATGATTTGCATATGATTTGCATACGATTTGCATATTCCCCTATAACCTCTGTAGATATCAGTAGTACAGTTGACACAATTTTCAGTTATCATCAATCTTTTTTTCTGACATTTTGTGAAGCGATAATCTCCTTAACAGTGGGAAAACTGAAAAAGCTTAAAATTCAATCATATTTTTTAGCTTTTAACATTTCAATGCTCAATGCAAGGGACTGCATAAAAACATGTGCAATTCTATCAGTACAGAAACTGTATTGTTTCAAAGCCAGTTAGTCAAGACATGCTGAGGATAATATATTCACCTTACACTAGCTTCCCTAACACCCTGTTGTTTGCTAGTGAATGAATGTTTGTAACCAAAACTCCCCCTTAAAGTGTCTTCAATAGTATGGCCCATTGCACAGAAAAATATAGACTTTATTTGTGAAGGTTCCATGTCGGTGAGCTGGAGGGGTGAAAGCCCAGAGGTACTGCATGACGGCCTGGAGGGGAAGAAAGAAATCAAGATTACATCATTGTGAACTGAAGGTATGGTGGCGGCCAATTTGTGAACGATAGGTGCTAGCCCCAACTTCAAACGGCTGGCAGCGCTGTAAACTACGATGTACTAATGAACTAAGTGTAGAAATCCATTTTCAGACAAAACATGCATGGCATAATGACAAATTTTAGCAAACTTCTTGTGTCCCTTTAATTTTGTTTCTGTACCTTATTAGTTTGTTGTGTTTTTTAGCACTTTATTATTGTTATTAAGACTCTATGATTGTACTTAAGTTAGTTCCTTTTATCATATTATGTATGGTTTGTTCAGCTTTGAAAACTGCCAAAATGGTGACATGCTGACCCTGGATAAATAAATGAAATAAAATAAAATGAAATAAGCCACAGGAACATCTGTGTGAGATCAAATAAGTCACAGTGACACATTCATCCCGTCAGCAGAACAGACTTTAAAATCTGGATTTTACCTGTTTTATGCTGCAACGTTCTTGATCTCTTCCGGCATGGGAGCCTTGGGATGTTTGCTCTCAAAGTGCTGTTTGTAGGTTTTAGGATCCGGCATCTGAGTCTGGGGAAATAATTTTTGTTTTAATTAAATAATTGTTAAAATGTGCACTAAGTTTTTGTCATGAATACAGCCATGTCAAAGTTTTCCTCCCTGCCCTGTGCTTTTATGATGTCTGTTTGCTATATCTTCACCTTAGAATGACCGAGAATAGAGGAAATAAATCGTAGCCTAAACAGCAAAAAGATCTGTCAAGCTAAAAATTTCTTAGCCAACATTCTTGCTAGCAATGAATAGTCGTCATAAAAAGTCCTCGTACTTTGCAGACCACACACTGGTAGATGAGAGCCTTTCCAGGGGTCAGAGTGACTGGTCGAAAGTTCTCGGTGAGAGCTCTTTATTGTGTTTGGATCTTTAGTTTTAACTTTAAACATGTGACTACCAACACAGGTGAACTTTCATGAGTCATAAACATACTTTGCACACCACACACTGGTAGATGAGAGCCTTTCCAGCTGCTGACTTCTGGTCGTGTCCCTGAGCTTTCTTCATCTTGGCCTGTTTCTCTGCATTCTTCTTCTGAGACTGGATTTTCTGGTGACCACGAGCCATGACTGCAGGGAAGACTGGACAGACTAGGGAAGATAAAATAATCATAAATGGTTTATTGGTCAAACATTATGTGCAATTGCAGCCTTTATTGCGCTGAATTGATGCAGGGTTTACAATCACATAATACACATGATGCGACAGCGTATAACATATCTGCTCCAAACACTTTTTGTTGAACTGTCACAAGGGTCTGTACGGCTGCCACCAGGTGACCTCAATATGACTTTCCCCAACCGAAGTTAGGTACCCATTCACACCTGGGTGGAGTGGGGAATGCACTGAACTGGAACATAGCAGATAAAAAAAATCAGTTTTTTTTTTAAACAGGGAAATACTAGTAAGGGGGCTGCTCCCTCATATCAATTTTTAGATTAAACCCTAAGTGGCTACATACACAACATTAAGTCTTTCTCAAAATGTCAAAGATCTTTTTCCAGTGTGAATATAAAACAAAACATTGTAACAATGCATGCTAGCATTACAAAACTGTGTTACTCTTTTAAAAATTTAATTTGCTCCCTCACAATGCTAGTGATCTGCTCCTGAATTCTGAACACGGACAAGTATTGGAGAATCAGCCAATATTTGATGAAACTACAATACACACATCACTCTGAACTCAATTCTTGTCTCGAATGTTCTGTAAACTTATGTAGAACGTTAGAACAAATTATTATATCATTTGTTTCTCAGTAAGATTTCAAAGCTTTCACAGTTTGAGTAAATTATAACCAAGGACATAACCGTTCACATAAATTGTCCCTAGGCCCAATGACCGTTCGACGAAGGCTAAAAGAATTCTGAACACGGACAAAGAATCTGCAAGAAACACCACACAAATATCGTTTGGTGACTCATAATGCCCCACCATATTGAAATGTAAACGTAGGCACATTTTTTTCTTGTCGTTGGTTCCGGATTGAACAGTTATAGATCTAAAGTGGCGAGTAAGGATTTATGCTGGCATGAAAACATCCTGTCCTTTCCCACAAATCGAGAAAGAGATGAACTTTTTGTTACAAGTTTGTCAGAACTCGATGGTGAAACTTTTGCTTCTATCATCATCATGAATGCCGAAAAAAATTTACAACCAACTCGAGACGAGCAAAAAAATCCAGCGAATTTTCATCTTTGTTCGACGTTTTGGCGTCTCAAAATACCGCAAAAAGCCTTTTCTTGGTCAACGAATGTTAAATGTGCCTTTAGAATTCAATGGGTAATACAATAAAATCGTTTTGTTGATGTAAAGTCGAGAAAATCGGGAACTTTTGGAGCAAAAATGAGCAAAACTGACTCACCAACAGGGAACACGCTCCGACCGGAAGTAACTTAAAGGTCAGAGGTCATGCTATCCCGTCAAGCATCAGTTCGTTTACAAGCGCCATCATCTCTTCTAGCGATTTAAAATGGTATTGCAGTTTGTGTGCGTTCAACGCAAGAGGCTAGGTACCTAATATATTACTGCAAAATTTAACTTATATTTTTCAATCGTAGGTTTGGAATCTCAGATATCTTGTTTTTCATATGAGTAACGTTATAAAAAACAACAAAAGAGTCAAATTTGTCTCCCATGGAAGTACTTTATTACCACCCTCAACTTTATTGCTATAACAAACATGTATCAAAGTTGTAATGCATTTCAAATTTTGGTAAGGTTTGATAACAATATATAGAGACTTTATAGATTTGAAGAAATTGGATTCAGTTTTTTTCATGTTTTTTTTGTACTTCAGGTAAATATTGCATTTAAAAGCCCCGGCATGGACATACAAGAAATTTCATTGTCAGTGAAAATGAATGAATGGCCATTATCAATATAATAGTAACTGTCATCTCAAAATACACAAATAAATAATCTTAGTGCCTTGAGATACAAAGAGGAGGAATGGGAATTCAACAAAAGATCATCAAATAATGATTTTAAAAAATTGTATGTTGACATTTGATGTCAGAAATTTTTGTTTCTCTTTTTTGGCTTATTCATAAATTCTTACACCTTAATTCTCCTCCTGGCAAGAGTTTACAAATAAAATTCTTTCCTGACATAACACTTTATTTTTTCATTTTTTTTCATGGTAATATAATTCTCTCATACAGTGATAACACCCATTTTAAAGAAATATTCAACCCTTATCATTTTTTTTATCTATTTATTTTTATATTTATCAATTCTCACAATTTCACCTTGTCTGATATCCTGAGGTTTGGAACTTATCATAAGCTTACTTCAGGCATCACCATTTTTTTCCCCATCCATTCATGTCTTTAATAATTGAAAGTTTATTGCAAATAATAATATTTAATAATCTGTGTACGACCTGCTTAGTTAGTATCAATTTATTATTAGAACCAAAATAAAAATAAACTATGCATTATGATCGTGGGCTACATAGCCATAAGTCCTTGGATCTACATTTCCTTCCTCATTCACAACCAGTCTCTCCCTATCTTCGTCAGATGGTACGGTCCGCTTCCCTTCGGTGTGGTTTTTAGCCCATGGTTGGACTGTACCATCTCCCATGATGAGGTAGGTTATGGTGCCGAAAGCGTTGATTGCTGCTGTGATGTAGAACACGACCTGCCATTGATGCTTGCGAGTTATCCAAGTTTTCTGAAGGAAAAAAAAGTCGTAACCAGTAAGTTGTATGTTTATTGACAAATAGACCACCCACCCACCCATCCATCCATCCATCCATCCATCCATCCATCCATCCATCCATCCATCCATCCATCCATCCATCCATCCATCCATCCATCCATCCATCCATCCATCCCAGTTACTTCAAATCTTTTAACTCTGTCAGTTTAAGACAACATCATATGATACCTTGCACAGTCGTATATTTTTGGTTTAATGTAATTGTTTGTTATGTACAAACAAACAAACAAACAAACAAACATATCTTGGAAGTTCATCTGTGTTGGTAGAAGTCATTATGAAAAAAGTTTGAACTGCAATTTCCAACACAAGAAATGCAACCTATGATCCACTGCTCACGGAGCCACGTGTGTTATCTGCGTGACGTCACGGAAGCGGTGAATTGCTCAATCCTTTGACAATGACTGGAGTTGTACAGTCGAAAATTTGGGTAAGTCTTGTGTTGGAAATTGCAGTTCAAACTTGTTTCATAACAAACAAGTCTCCTTACAGCATTTTGTGTGAGCAGTCCGACCACAGCTGGCCCAGCGAAGCCAGGAATGGTGGCGGCAGAGTTGGAGATTCCCATCAGCACACCTGCATACCTGAAGGAGGGGGAAAGGTTACAACTTGTTCTGCTGCTTTGTTCTAATAATGAGATTCTTTAAGACTACATGACACCAATAACAATAAAAGTCCAAATACAATAATTTCAGTTTTGGTCCCTTTTAACCCAATATCCAGTTTGCAAAAGGTGATCCATTGGTTTCTACCAGTCCCACACACATAGGGGTGATATTTGACCCAAATCCATGTTCACTTTCTAGGGGCCTGATCAGTGGAAGGGCTACTGGAGGCACGCTTTACTAATAGGCTCTTTTACTGACCAATTGCAGCAATGTAAAGCCCCTGTCTCACATTCACAAACTTCATTCCTGAACACCAGCTGAACAGGTTGGCTGGTGTTCGGGAGTACTCTGACCAGATTTAGGCCCCGCCTACCTCTTGTATATGACTTTGTGTTAAATTGGAGTTAACTTTGATCCCTGAACACCCCCTACCTTGGAGCGATGTCCAGATGATTGACATTGAAGTTGATTGAACCCTGACATGCAGAGTCCCCCCATCGCTACCGACAGCGTCAGGAACACGATACTGATAGTCTTAAATTAGAGGTGTTGCCCATCATATCAAGCTTCTTGGGGCCTGACCAGTAAAAGGGCTACTAGAGGCATGATTTAGCTACACATACAGTAATAGGCTCTTTTTTATAACCTACCTGAGAACCTAGCTGAGGCAGGTGGGAAAGAGCTTCAGCAGCCTTGAAAAAAACCTGCCCCAACCACGATAGACTGGACACCAGGTTAGCTCTTTTACTCACCAATTGCAACAATGTAAGCTATATTTTCACCCCCCCCCCTTACCTTGGAGCGATGTCCAGATGATTGACATTAAACCCTGACATACAGAGTCCTCCCATCGCCACAGACAGCGTCAGGAACACAATGGCCAGGACCTGCTGACTACAGTTCACGTAACCCGTGGCAACCATGAAAATGCCAGGCAACACCAGACCTGGAGGGAGGGGAGACATAGCAGTTTATTATATGTTTACCATTGCAGAAGGAAAACATTATTGTTTTGCTCTGTTTCTTCTTCCTCTTCCTCTTTTTCTCCAAACACATAAGGTCAATGACCTGAGCCAGACGTCTGTCACCATGGTAACTAGTGTTGGGTTACATCATGTTGCAATTTTATAGCAGGAGGGATTTAGACTCCTGTCTGACTATACTAGTATATATGAATGTGTTTGAGTAAGAATTGACAGTCGAAAGCTCTTAAAGTGAGAGAACTTTTTTGTGTTCAATGGATCTAAAGTTTCAACTTTAAACATGTTACTACCAACACAGATGAATTTTCATGATAGATAGATTGCTTGTCTTACCAGAGCAGTTGAAGACCTTCCTGACTGCTGTGGTGCTGAGAATCTTGTTCTCCCGGAGAAAGTCGGCCAGCTGACCACCAGATATGATGACCAGCCAGATACACAGGTATGGTACTGCAGACAGGAACCCTGCCTGGATAGCAGGGAAAACATGACGTGTCAATATTGTTGTAACAGTGGGCTTCAAGCTACATCAACTGACCAGTCCATACCGATGCAGACCTTTTAGCCTCGCGATTAGTGCATTGGGTTTTCAAGTTGGTAGCAACGCTGGTTCGAATCCTCAGAGCCAGGAGACTGTATACTACTGACAATCTTTGTGTTTCAACTGTTCCCACACCGGGAATCAAACCCAGGCTTGGTGATGAGGGCGCCAAATCCGAACCAGTAGACCAGTAGACCCTTTGAGTTCCAGTGTTTCTCCTTTGTTTATTCAAGGAAAAAAATGCAGTAAGATGCAATCCTGTGTGTTTGACATCAAGAAACCTACACAAAACAATAGACAAGATGAAGGGTTGTATATGTATAATCTTCACTAGTATAGGTTAGGTGACCTGACATAAGGCCTAGGAACAACAGTTGTGTCTCCTGTTACCCAACCAATCCTACAGCAGTCATGAGAATGTAGTTTTTGATCATGTAGTAAAATAAGCCTTATCAGCCCATATCAAACTATACTTTATAAACCCACCTGTGTGAGATCAAACAGTAGAATCTCCTTCATGTACATGTATGTAGGCATGTCGGTAAGGAGAATGTAAGTTATTGATCATGTACTAAACTATACTTTATAAACCCACCTGTGTAAGATCAAACAGTAGAATCTCCTTCATGTACGTCGGCAGGTCGGTGAGAAGTGTGTAGAAGCCCCAGTTGTTACTGAAGTGAGACAGAACAATCGCCCAGACTGGTGCAGAGGTCGCGAAGGTCAGCCATGGGATAGATGCATTCTGGGAAGGCATAAAAAATGGGTTAACACAACTGAAGAAGGTCAACATATTTCACTGAAAATTTTATCTCAATGTAGGTTTCAACCATGCTCACTAACGTTGTGGACACACAATTTTTTGTTGTGACAAAACTAGAAATCATTGTTAAAATTAGAGGGAGTTTAACTGTATAACGCTGAACAATGACTATTTCCTGAGAGGGGTGAAAGGGGCTACATGTATTTACATCAAGGCCCACCACCCTTCACTCAACCGCAATGGGGGCCAACATCGTTTACCAGATACCTTTGACCCAGTGTTGACGTCACACTTCAAAGAAGCCACGTGACAAGCTTCACTGGGTCAGTCTACTGAGGAAGACCAGAGTGACTGGTCGAAAGCTCTAGGTGAGAATTATATAAATCTTCTTTGTGTTGGATCAAAAGTTCAAACTTAACATACCTTCCCTGTAGTTGTGCCCTCCCTCCTGAGCTCCCCCTGGATGTACTCCCGCTCGATGTATGATATCCGCGGGTGTTCCTCAGGAGAGTTGTGAACCATCAACATCCAGATCACAAACCACAAACACCCCAGGGCACCTGGGAGGAGTAGGAAGTATAACCTTATACTATATGAATAAATGAATGAACTTTATTGCTTGACGATTGTACATGGTACAATGTGTGGCAGTAAGACCAGAGTGATTGGTTGGAAGCTCTAGGTGAGAGCAATTCTTTGTCTTGGATCGAAAGTTTTAAATCTAAACAAGAACACTCACTCACTCACTCACTCACTCACTCACTCACTCACTCACTCACTCACTCACTCACTCACTCACTCACTCACTCACTCACTCACTCGTCACTTGGTAGCCTGCCATTTGCCTCTATCCTGTGGGTTAACGTTATGTACGTTATGGTTTATATAGGTTTAGTCTTACCGAATGCGTAGAAGACAGAGGGCCAGCCAAAGTGGTCACACAGCAGACCTGAGATGGGCAGAGAGAACACTGTGCCCAGATGGGAACCTGGAACACACACAGAACAGGTGGTGAACTTTAAATTTGCTCAGTTTCCCGGTGCAATGCAAACAGTTTATCTCTTATTTCTGTGAATAACTTGACCATTTTGGGTGACGAGGTGGTCTTGTGGGTTCTGATAGAAACTACAGTTCTGATAGAAACCACAAGACCAAAGATTTTGGGTTCGAATCCCTAACAGGAGTTGAGTGGGGAAATAGGTCTGAACTTCCTTTTCCCAAGGGCACAACAATTGGGCCTGCCAGGCTATAGGGATTCGAACCAAGAACCTTCAGAGTCAACAACCCTCACCACAAGACCACCTTGCCACGTCAGACAGGTAAAATGTCCAACTCACCTGAGTACGTGATAGTGATGAGTTTACTCCTCTCTATGGGTGGAGCCCAGCCCTTCCACATGGCATGCATGGCTGGGAACGTAACACCCTGCAGCGAGAGGGGAAAGGATGAAATAATAAGTATGATATATAATTTATACATAGCCAACATTAGCCTCAAGATCTGTCACCAGGTTTTTCTTTTCTTGGGTAGATGGCAATCAGATCAGTGTTCTAGCTGGTGTCTGTCTTTCCGTCATTTGACAGAATTTTCCTGCTCTTGACAGACAAAAATTGCTATCTGAAATTTCTGAATCCTCACTACTACAGAGAAGCCTGATTCTGCATTGTCATAGTCTACCTGAAGACATGATTCTGTAATTCACTTTGTGTTCACGGTTGCAAAATTTCACGGTCTGATAAAAATCAAGGTGTTCACAGAACTATATGTCCACGGTGGCAACAGGTGCAGGAAAAAGAAAGTCAGCGACTGATATGTTAGCGGTCATGATAAGTTTGCAGTACAGAAGTGACTGTGAAAACCGTCAACATAAATGTACAGTGAATAAATCAGTAATTACAGTAATCTTAAAATTAAGAAGACCACCAACCTCTCCGAGTCCCTGAATGACTCTAACGGCGATGAAGAGGTACTTGTCGGCCCTGGCAGCGACTGGTGTGACCAGCGTGAACAGAGCCGTACACAGGATCCCCAGCCCAAACACTGACTTTCCACCATATCTACCTGTGGAACAGGTTATGTGAATTAGCTTACTGTGATTGTGAAACTGTGCCACTGTGAAACTTACTAGCAAACCATGAGCTATACAAGAATATAGTCAATAACAATACGGCAAAGGAGTTGGATTTTGCAAAGGCACAGTATGTTCTACTGACATGCTCCTACATGTATGAACTACTTGCCAGCCTTTCGTAGTACACCATGTACCAGCAGTCAGAATATACTTGCACCTGTGCAAAATCCAGACTTTTCAGTTTTTCTTTTGGATGTTTGCATTGGAATTTTGCCCTTTGCAACCGATGATATATTTTCCGACATATTACATTTGAAAACTTATAGGAGGGATGTCATCCCTAACTATGCAAATACAATAGCTGTAATGCTAAAGTGCTATGCACAAAAAATTATGGGTTTTGCACCCGTACAGTTCTACTGATATGCTACGTATATATACTACACATATTTGTGTCGTCAGTGAAGGTTACGCATCCAGTAATAAAATACCCACAAAAAAAATTTGGAAATGGTCAGACATTTCAGACAAAAGGTAGTGGATGCTACCTGAAATGTCTGACCATTTCCGAAATCATGTCCAGTTGCTTGAACAACTGTTTTTTTGGTGTGTGTACTATTTCTGCCCTTTGACTTACCTGCGAGCCAGCCTCCAGGTATCTGTGTGAAGATGTAGCCGTAGAAAAATGCCCCCAGGATGATGCTCTGTTCACCTGGACTCCAGGGAAACTCTCCAGGCTGGGGGAGGGGTGGAACACAAAGACAAGTTTATCAGTCTTACCCATTATAAACAGCCATACTGCTCTGCCTAACACTTTGGTCACCAAGTGGTCAGGCTACACCATGCAGTTTAAACTAGAAAGGTAACATTTGCAAAGCAAATGCATAATGTTACCTTCGCATATGGTTTGCTCTGTTAATTCTTACTCAAACAAATATATGGTCAAACAGGAGTCTAAATCCCTCCTGTCATAAAATTGCAACATGATGTAACCCAACACCAGTTACCATGGTGACAGATGTCTGGTTCAGGTCATTGACCTTACTTGTTTGGAACCAAAGATTAGAAGAAGAAGAAGAATTTCAAAGAAGAAGAGGAAGAAACTGAGCAAAAACAATATAAATAATGTTCTTCTTCCGTAAACATACATTTTTAAATATGTACCTTATCTTGTCCGGTGGTGTTGGTATTCGGCACGCAGTCCTCGGAGCCGTTCAGCGCGGCCTTCTGGGTGTGGTTCACCATGGCAACCATCGCCACGCTCAGATTGACCCTCATCCCGTACGCCGTGAAGAACCCAAACGAGCCAAGGACTGCCAGGAGGTAACGGGCGGAGGTCCATACTGGTACTAGGTCAGGAGAATGTACGAAACTGTGTTATTTTATTACTGTAAGACAAGAGATAGGAGTAACTCGAAGGTTGACCCTCATCCCGTACGCCGTTAAGAACCCGAACGAACCGAGGACGACCAGGAGGTAACGGGCGGAGGTCCATACTGGGACTAGGTCAGAAAAAAAGTATCAAAATGTCAAGGTTTTTTGTCGATTACCGTTGTAACACAAGAGATAGGAGTAACTCAAAGGTTCACCCTCATCCCGTACGCCGTGAAGAACCCGAACGAACCGAGGACGGCCAGGAAGTAACGGGTGGGCGTCCATACCGGCACTAGGTCAGGAATACAATATTTTACTGACTATTGAGAGAGCCAGGGTAAAAAGTTGGTTTCCAATTCAAGTCATAATTATTTCCTCCCTGCTGCCTAACACATAACCAATGCGAATTTGGTGCCAAACTGCTAACTTGGCAGGCTGTTTGTTGACACTACCTTCGTCGTAGTTTGTTCTTCTGCATATATTTGTGTTAAAGTTGTTATATCTTACATAATTATTGTTTATATAACGTTAGAATAACGTTACATCTCAACTCAAATCATATAGGAAAGCACCTCTGTGTCAAGGTTTCAACATCATACGTTTGAGTTACATATAATTACTTCTCTCATGTTTTTCAAACTTTCTGACTCATATAAGTCTGTTGGACACTGTCCAAATTATTTCCTCGCTTAGCGCCCCCCTCCCCACTTCACTTCCGGGATCCGTCGTCTGCTCCAGAAATAACACTCGCAACGCGCCAAGTTTATAAATTTGGCAACCGACGCTTCCTGCAACTTCAACTCTTATCCCGGCCCGGAGAGGATGCTTCTCACCTTTCTCTTCAAACTTTTTTGACCGGTGACCTGGCGAGCTTGCGTCGTCCATCTGTCTTTTCTCATGTGACGTCCCGGGTCTTGTGACCGCTGAAATGGCGACTGCAGTTCTCAACAAAGTCGGCAGGTAGCGCATCTGACTGGGGCGTCAAACGGGTAGCCTCCGTTTATCTCCAAGCAGATCCTAGGGTGGCAAAAGACAGTATCAAATTGTTCAGGCAGTATCCAGTCGCCAGAGAGGGCCAATACGCCACCCAAATGTAAGAATCACCTAAGTAACAATTACGATACTGTGAATCTAGGAATGCGAGTTCAGTTACGAAAAGAGTGTCTACTATATACCTCCATGACTATACTAGTATTATGTAACAATTTATATTCTTGGAATTATTGAAAAAGTGTCCTAAGTAGTTACTAGGCAGATATGGTAAGGCACAGGCAAGTCACCATGGCATGAAATTTATTAGTACATCTTCGTGGCATGCGGGAATTGGTCTATAAGATTAAGTAATTGATGACTGATAGCGTTATGAGGCATTGACAAGACTTTGATGGTTTTACCGTTGAGAACCGAGCATATGTTACCAAGGACGCCGAACTCCGGTAGTCAAGTGGGCAACAACCGCCTTAAGTCGAGTAAAACTTCAAATATAAGTGCTCTTGAAATATAAGTGGTGTTATTTCCTCACGAAATGTATTGACCTTTATAATTAATGGTGGCCCGGGTTATATACTAGTACTTCAGATTACTAGTATTATATTCTTAAGGAAGTTTATTATACTATAATGATGCAAATATGTAGTTGATAAGCTAAGTGTTTATTTAGTTGATAAGCTAAGTGTTTACCTATCGTCCATTGTATCAAAGCATAAGATGGATTTGCTCCGATCAAACTACCGTCATAAAGTCAGGGACCGGCTGGTACAGTATCCTAGAGTGCAAAGATTTAGATGGTAGATAAAAGCGTTGAAGACATCGAATGCAATTTCAGGGCGGTAAAGCTGAAACTATTCTTTAAGAGGACTTTGTTCTTGATACAAAATGTACATTTTCATCATCATTTCATACTTGAGGCTTATCGCTTGTTTAGAGGCTATTTCATTCTACGTTTGAAATACTAAGTAGCCCCCAAACAAGCTATGTGATTCTATATTGCAACGTTAACCGAAGATTGATTTGCGTGACCTAAACACTCCATAAAACAGTTACCCAAGCAACTGGATATGATTTTGGAAACGGTCAGACGTTTCAGCTAGGTAGCATCCACTACCATTCGTCAGTGACACTAAAGAACTTGTGCAGACAGGAGGCAGGTTTGTATTCATGAACTATAGTGTCACTGACGAAAGTAGTGGATACTACCTGAAACATCTGACCGTTTCCAAAATCATATCCAGTTGCTTCAGTAATTGTTTTTGGCGCATCTTATCACCTGGATGTCTAACCTTCACCGACGTAAACACCCATTGCATAACTGTAATCACCCAATTATAAAACAATCAACCTCTCATCCAGATATAGAACACCCCTGATCCTTAAAGTGCCATAAAGTCAGAAGTGTTCAGGTCCTCAGACCGCTCGCTGCCGGTACAGGAGTACTCACATCTGCTCCTGTTCTCAGGCAAGTCCTAAAACATCGGGAGAGAGTTTTTATAATGCGAAGGTCACAGCCTAACAGTTTATCTCCAAGCAGATGTTACGATACAATGTCCAGGCTGTGCATGATGTACAAATGACTAATACTAGTAAACTGGTGGACGTACCAGCCACTAAGTATCTGATACCAGCCCAGAAAAGAACAAGAAACAGTCATGCCTTCAAATATCAGAGTTATCGACCAAGAATTGAGGTATTCAAAAACTCGTATTTCCCAAGAACTATCGTAGACTGGAACTCGTTTGGTCAAGCACAGTTGGGGCATCGTCACTAGAAAGCTTTAAACAACTCCTGCAATTAAATCTGCAAAGATTGAGTGTAACAAGTCGTTCGGTGTGATATAGATAGCTGCCGCCGCGCCGCGTGCCTGCGAAGCTGGTGTGTTACGCCGAATAGCGTTTATTCCGGTTATACAGATACAGATTGTAATGCTTTCTGGCTGTCTTGTCTCTTTGATGTCGCTGACGGAAAAAGTTGTTTGTAAACACTGCACCACACACGTCACGGGACCGACCCTCAAGATTATCTCAATCAAACATCATCATAATTACCGCCTTACAACTCAAGTGTCCAGTTCCTTTTCAAGTCTCCTTGAAAAACATCTTGAAACAGGATGTCATAAAAATCTTCAAAATTATCAGTAATTATAAGTAATTCATCAAAATTTCTTAACGGGGATATTATGTAAGGATTGCCCCCAAACCCTATATAAGCGCGCCCTGGTCCAGCTTACGGTACTTTCTGCCATCGAGTGTTGTACACGACTTTGGAAAGCGACAGGCATCATGCAGGTTTTCGTGGCTCTTGCGGCATTGCTGGCTGTGGCCAATGGTGAGTAACACAAACCTTATATTACTAGTTAGTGCTTATAAACCTGCATTTCCCCTGCAGTCTCTTAGGTGACACTGACGAAAGGTAGTGGATGCTACCTGAATCGTCTGACCCTTTCCAAAATCATGTCCAGTTGCTCGAGTAACTGTTTATTTTGGCGTATCTTATTACCTGGATGTCTTACCTTTACCGACGTTATATTACTAGTTATTGTAAAACGTGTTAAAGCGAGTAAATGTGTTTGCGTGCTTGGAAACCCGATTTTCCGAAGCAAATACTCAAGTCATTTATCTACATAGTGAGTTGAAACTACACTGTCCAAGTGTAAATTGACCATTATGGAGCAAAAATTCCCAAAATTCTGACAGACAGAGAAAACCTCCATTTTTCATGGAGGTAGCAACGCTAACGATAACCTGAAACTCAGCGTATCCTGCCCACTTTTGTCGCTGCAGGATGCGGCCAGCAGGCCATCCAGCCCCGCACCATGGGGATGACTCGGGTGGTGAACGGGGAGGACGCAGCGGCTCACAGCTGGCCGTGGCAGGTAAGGGCCCTTCCCTAATCTCCAACCAGATCCTAGGGTCTCAAAAATAGAGAGAGTATCAAATTGGCCAGGCAGTATCCAATTGGCCAGAGAGGGACCATGAGCGACAAAAAACTGGCCATATGTAAAAACCTAACTATCATTCCCCCACAACCTCTGCTTGGAGAGTACTCTTCCCGTCCTCCACTCAATGATTGTGAGTAAGTCGTGCCCTTCCCGTCCTCCAGGCCTTTGTCGGCGGAGGACCTTGTCGTAAACAAGGTCCTCCGAGGTCGGGAGTTGGTCGGCGAGTTGTCTGCTAGTCGCTAGTCGACAAAACGTTTTGTAAAATTAGCCTGGAGTCTAGAAATCCAACAAGTGGTTGCGAATAAAAGACAATTTACTCTTCAATCATTGACAAACCAGGTAAAAACATTTACGGGACTAAGGCCCTTTTCACACCAGGATAAAATTGTTCAGATCGCGCAAGCCGAATCGATCCACTTTAATCCGGATTCAATCGGGTTTGAAACTGGATCAAAGCGAATCTATTTGGCTTCTATTGGCCTGCCTCTGATGTTATTCATATAATCTGTGCTTTTGTTTCAGGCTTCGCTTCAAACCTCCTCCAGCTTCCACTACTGTGGCGGCGTTCTCATCAGCGACCAATGGGTTCTATCTGCCGCTCATTGCTACCAGTCCGAGTAAGTTTCATTTTATCTATCTGGTTGTGTACAAGAAAACTCCTGTATCCTATACTTAATCAGCCTGATGAAACTATTTTCGGATGCAGCTAGCAGTGTTATGCAGTCAGGCTAGATGGTAACGATGATTGTCGATGAGTTAAGAGTCTCTTTTTACACAACCAAGTCTTTTATTCAGCCGACGTTTCGGTGACCGTCTGTCACCTTCCTCAGGGCAATTCTGACTAGTTCACATTGCACTACAGCACAGGTGTCGCTGCTATAGATGCATTCCCAAACGTACAATACATGTATTTACATATCTACACAAATGCGTGCGTGGTTGCAGGGAACTGCATTTACAATGCGGTCCCAAACGTACAGGAGTTGGATATATATACACAAACGACGGCTGAATAAAAGACTTGGTTGTGTAAAAAGAGTCTCTTTACTAGTCAGTGTCTTACCAACCTGATGAAACTATTCACGGATGATTGCTGATATCTCCTGTACTTTGAACCGGCAGCTACTCGACCCACAGCGTGATTCTGGGTGAGCACGACCGCAGCCGCGGCACTGAGGACATTCAGGTCATCCCCATCGAGCAGGAGATCGTGCACGAGCGCTACAGCTCCAGGGTAAGTTCATTCCTTCTGTGCTTTGTTCTGTTTTGTTTGTTTGTTTGATTGTTTGTTTGTTACCCTCCATGAAAATGGTGGAAACTGTATTCAGTCTGGATTTTTTGTGTATATCTCAAGATCCGTCAGGTAGAATGGGATGATATTTGGCCGGTGGGTAGTGGATTGTGTAGGTCGACTTTGGGCCCCTGGCGATTGACCTTGGTATTGCAGTAGGCATATTTAAAGATATCTTTGGCGCTGGACGGTCTGTGGACATGAAGTGGCATATAGTTGTAGAGATAAGGGTTTAATGGTATAAAGTTGGACCTCCTAGCTGTTCGTTGTGGACCTGCAGGCTTGTTCAATTTCAAGTGGCTATCTGGCTAACGATCTCAATAACCGCTGGATGCATTATGATTATCTTTCTAGTTCTTATCCTCCAATTTTTTGTGTTTTGACTATGGAACGGCTAGGCCTTTGTTTCGACGCATTGGACTCTTATGATGTTATGTTTACTGTATGTTGTCCTCCTGTTTTACTATATGTAACAATGTCTTGTCCTGTAACATGCTGGGCACCTTCCACAAAAAGCTATTGCAGGGCCACCCAGCCGTCCTGAGATGAAACAGACAAATAAATAAATCCTAATTTTTATTCCACCAGACCATCGAGAATGACATAATGGCAAATGTTACTTTTCTAGTTCTTATTCTAATTGCTATTCTCCAAAATTTCCAAAAACATTTGCCTTCGAGAATGAAATCATGGCAAATGTTACCTTTCTGGTTCTTATATCCTCATTCTAATACGTTATTTTCCAAAATTTCCAAAAACAGACCATCGAGAATGACATCATGTTGGTGAAGCTGTCCCGCCCCGCGAGTCTGGGTGATCACGTGAGCGTGGCGTGCCTGCCTGACCAGGGCGAGACGCACCATGAAGTGGCCGAGACCTGCTGGATCACCGGCTGGGGCCGTCTCAGCGGAAACGGTAAGTACTTTACTTTTCTATCATGAAAGTTCATCTGTGTTGGTAGTTACAGGTCTAAAGTTAAACCTTTTGGTCCAACACAAAAAAATTCTCTCACCTAGAGCTTTCGACCAGTCACTCTGGTCTTCCTCAGTAGACTGACCCAGTGAGGCTTGTCACGTGGCCTTTGACCCAGTGGTATTTTGTCATACAGATCACGCCCGTAGCCACGATTTTGCTTGGGGGGTTCTTCCTGCTGGCCAACGAGCGCTTTTGTCGCGATCTTCCCCCCGTCATGCTCCCCGAAAAATATGAAAATTGAACCTTCTGAAATGGCTTTTTTCTGCGTTAATTTTTTTAGAGGATTTCAAAGGACAAATCAGAGACAAATAGAATTCCAGTCCCGCTGGTGATACAAATCAGTCCATCTTTGAAAAAAAAATCTTGGACCTTTAGATGAAAAGTGGACCTTTGAGCGTCTGTGTCTGTATGGGTTGGGGTGGGGGGTCTTCCGAACCCCCCCTGGGTACGGGCATGCAGATACTAGTACATGTCACTAACCCCCGTCTCCCCGTTGTTCAGAGGATGCCGCCCAGGTCCTGCAGCAGGCTAACCTCCCCCTGAGGAGCGACACTCAGTGCAGCTCGTCCTGGGGAAGGAACTACGACTCCACCAGCATGCTGTGCGCCGGTCTGAACGGCTCAGGCGGATGCATGGTAAGGTCTTGCCAATGTCGTGCGATCACAACCTGTTGTTGGGATATTGTTGGGATAGTCTTGCATGTGTGTCTTGGAAAATGCAGTTGTCTCGTCACGGAAAAGATTGTCTTAGATCCATGTCGGTCGCCTAAGTGTTTTTTCCACACCTTTCTTAATTGTTTCATCTATAGGGTGACTCCGGTGGCCCGTACGTAAGATGCAAAATTAAGCACGCGTCGCCATTGTGTTTTTTTTACACCTTTCTTGTTTCATCTATAGGATGACATACTAATATTAATCATGCAAACAATGTTCTTAATTTGCATATTCAACCAAACGTCGCCATGCTGTTTTTTAACACCTTTCTTGTTCCATCTATAGGGTGACTCCGGCGGCCCATACGTAACTTGCATAATCAACTAAACATCGCTGATTTTTAAAACATTTCTTGTTTCATCTACAGGGTGACACATTCATCATGCAAACAATGTTCTTAATTTGCATGCTCAACCAGACGTCGCCATGCTGTTTTTTTAATACCTTTCTTGTTTTATTTACAGGGTGACTGGTGGTCCGTTCGTCTGTGAGCGGAACGGCGCCTATGACGTGTCCTTAATTTGAATAATTGACCACACGTCGCCTAGGTGTTTTTTTTAAACCTTTCTTGTTCCATCTATAGGGAGACTCCGGCGGCCCATACGTAGCCTTTCATGCAAACAATGTTCTTAATATGCATGCTCAACCAAACGTCGCCATGCTGTTTTTTTCACACTTTTCTTGTTTCCTTTACTAGGGTGACTCCGGCGGTCCATACGTAATTTGCATAATGAAGCACGCGTCGCCATGGTGTTTTTTTAACGCCTTTCTTGTTTCCTTTACCAGGGTGACTCCGGTGGTCCTTTCGTCTGTGAGAGGAACGGCGCCTATGACATCGTCGGTCTGGTCTCCTGGGGCTCCAGCTCCTGCAGTACCTCCTACCCGACAGTCTTTGCGCGTGTCGCCGCCTACAAGGACTGGATCCAGCAGAGAACCGGGCTGACCTTCTAATTGGTCGTCTGAAGCCGCCTCCTGGGTCTCCATTGGTCAAATTCAAAACCACCACAACCAATCAGTGTTTAGATGATTGGACAGTTCTTGTCTGACCGAGACCCAGGTCTTGAACGGCGTTGTCTGCGTTTCGCTCAATAAAGCGAATGAACAATCTGACAAAAAACGTGTCTGTGACTTCCATGTCTCACTTAGTTTGTTACCTTCGATAAAACAGATGTATTGTGTATGTGTGTATGTGTGTGTGTGTGTGTTTGCTTGTGTGTCTGTACAGTTGAGTGACTGCACGTAGGTACAGAGAATCACCTATAACTAAACAGAACACAAAAGGTCAGGCACAGGAAGTTACATCTAAGTCCCAAAAGCTCGAAACCTGCAGATACTCTTGAAGTTGTGTTGCATTTGGAAAATGCATAGAAAAAAAAACTTGTAGAAAAGAGAATCCACAATCATATGGTAAAAAAATAAGAAATTCACAAAACTCTATATGAAATACTAGTATCAGATTTCCGACCAGGGACAGTGAACACATATCAAAGTCAGAATTAGTTTGGTGCATTTACCTCGATGAAGGTTAGACAGCCAGGTAATTAGATACACCAAAAACAGTTTAATAAACCTGAAATTCTCCTGAAGTCTCTTAGTGTCACTGACGAAAGGTAGTGGATGCTACCTGAAACGTCTGACCTTTTCCAAAATAACAAAAATTATATCCAGTTGCTTAAGTAAATGTTTTCGGCGAAGTTTAGTCTATTCTCTAAGATATATCGTTCTCATGGCACTAGATATTATGAGGGACAGAAAAAGAGAGAGAGAGTAAATGTGTTTGTGTGACTGTGTGTTTGGGTGTGTGCTTGTCAAGGACGAGACGGACTCTGTTTCGGTTAATTTGCTCATAAGCTTTATTGAATAAATGACACTGGGTGCTATATTGTTAAAACACTGATGATTGGTCAATAGAAAAGATATTGGACTAAGGCTTCATGAAGGAGGTTGAGATTCAACCAATGAGGAAGCCGCAGACGATTTCAGTTGAGCGTCATGATCTGTTCTATCCAATCACGGAAGGCCGCCACGCGCGCGAAGCCTGTCGGGTAGAAAGGGTCGCACGTACGCTCCCCAAACGACACCAGGCCGATGACGTCATACCCACCGGCCGAGTTCTCGCACACGAGCGGGCCGCCAGAGTCACCCTAGATGGAATACGACATATCAGGAGTACGAAGGCCCACAACGACACATCTTCCACAGCCGTGTATGGCAGGTATAGCCCTTGTGTGTCAGGGCCGCGGAAGAGGTGTAAGGCAGTGTCGTTGTGGGCCTTCGTACAAGAGGTTGCCTAACTGTATGATCATGCTGATGGAATAATGCCAACCCTACGTGGAATACTACATAAGGAAAGCGCTGCACGTGGCAAGAATAGGTTATCGGATAGTTTTTCAGTACTAAGGAGAGGGACAAAATTGCGTAAAAGGGGTACTTTGAAGCACGCGTAAGGGTTCAAGTTTTTCAGACCTATGCTAGCCTGGTATCCAGTCTGATCGTGATCGGGGCCGCAAGAGCTCTGTCCCGGCCGCCTCACATAGGTTTCCCGGTGTGTATTTCACGAGAGATTGATTAGCCCTCCCCAAGCATACTGTCTCTTATTAGCGTAACACTCCTACCGGGACGGCCTGTTGCACTGAAGGCACAACCTGCCTGAACACCCCAACACCCCCAATCACGTAAGACTGGATACCAGGCTAAAGGTCTGGTCAAATATCGAATTTTAGTCAGTGTAGATTGCTTACTAATAGTAAGCAATAACTTGTTAGTAACAAGAAAGAAACAAACAAACCATGCATCCGCCCTTGTCCGCGGCGCCAGCACAGATCATACAGGCCGGGTTGAAGACCGGTCCCCACAGGCTGCCGCAGTCCCCGTCACTGATCAGAGACAGTTCCGCCTGCTGCAGCACGACTGCTAGGCCGTCTGAACAACATGGGGAGGGAAAACATATTGTTTTTGCTCTGTTCTTCTCCAAAAAAATAAGGTCAATGACCTGAACCAAGACCAGTTACAATGGTGACAGATCGACATCTGTGTTCACACACACACACACACACACACACACACACACGCGCGCGCGCGACGCGCGACGCGACACGCACACACACACACACACACGCACACACACACACACACACACAGAAAGACGAAGAGACAAAGAAAAATTAGTAGAGAGAGAGAGAGAGGGAGAGAGAGAAAGAAAGACAGAGAGGGAGGAAGAGACCTTAAGCTTTGGGTAAAGTTAAGGTTACTAGTATACTTACCGCCTGCGTTGGTCCCGTTCAGCCCCCAGCCTGTAATCCAGCACGGTCCGCTAGGGGTCTCTCCCTGCTCCGGCAGACACACGGCGCTCACCGTGTCACCAAGGACGGCCGACGTGCGCAGCTTCAGCAGCATGACGTCATTTTGGATAGTCTGAAATGAGTACCTAGCTTCGGTTAGGGACGTTCATTTGGATAGGACCTGTAATACGGACGTGAATGCATTACCTCGACTCGGAACCAAGAGGTCCCGGGTTCGAGTCCTGATATGCCACCGATCCTTGGTAAAGGCACTTTACACGACTTTTCTCACTTCACTCAAGTGAAAATGAGTATTGTCCTGTCCTGTATTTGTCCTGTACGTTGGTGGCGGCATGATATAAGTTGAAATAGCTTTAGTGTGCCGTCACCATGTCCAGTCATGAAATGTTGGAATTTAAAAAAATGCATCACCTGGAAGTCGTACAGCTCGTGACGAAACGCGTACTCAATCTCGCGTTCCTGGACGGCCTCGGTGTCTCCGGTACGGTCGTGTTCGCCCAGGATAACCTTGTGGGTCTCAAAGCTGGAAAACACCGGGACCATTATTATCATTCACTGCAATCAGTCAGTGACATTAGAGAGTTGTCAGAAAAGCCTTATAAACCTCATATAAACTCAGATCTATAAACCTTCTTTTCTGAAAACTCTCTAGTGTGACCGACGAAAGGTAGTGGATGCTACCTGAAACGTCTGACCGTTTCCAAAATCATTTGCTTGAGTAACTGTTTTGTGGCGTATCTTATTACCTTATTGCCTTCACCGACGCATCACGCTGTATTGATTAAAAAAAAAACTCACTCTGATCTCAGGCAGTGCCCCGCTGTCAGTACCCAGTCTTCGTGAACCAGCACGCCGCCGCAGTAGTGGGCGTTGTCCGCTGTCTGCAGGGAAACCTGCATGGAAAAAAGTAGTATAGTTAAAGCTGCATTATGTAACTTACATTTAAGACGACCCCAAAAGTCAATTTTCTTGTCATTTTATCTAGGTGGCTTGCTGGCAAACTGGACCCTATTTGGTCAGCCCGGCCAGTTACATTCCTTTTTAGGCCGATTTCTACTGTTTATTCCACCTGCAAAGGAGCCTGTTGGAGTCTAGAGCTGACCTACTTGCCATGGCAAATTGGACCCTCTATGGCCGACTAACTCCCCCGGCCAGTTACATTTGTTTCTAGACCGTTTTCTACCATTTATTCAGCCTGCAAACAGTCTGTTGTACTACTAGACTAGAGATGCCCTACCTGCCACGGCCAGCTGTGCGGAGCGGCGTCCTCCCCGCCAACCACCCGGGTCATCCCCGTAGTGCGGGCCGGGTAGGTCGGCACGCCACATCCTGCATGGCGGAGCAAGACATAATGATGAAGACTTGGCAAGAGCATGTAGAAAGACAAATGTACTCCCGTACCCCTTTTGAGCCTGTATTGTAGCCTCCACCAGGTCTTTCTACGGGCCCTCTTCTTCCGCTAATGTCTAGCTCCCGATGTGTCGGCAATGATTGGTAGATAGGCGAAAAATAAGCGTAAATCGAGAAAATTATGTATATGTCACAAATTCTTTCTCTATGTGATCTCCACAAACGCACACGTTTGGCAGTTTGATAAATTAACAAGTTAATTCTTAATTGATAAAGGATGCTATTACTAACCATCAGCAGTAGCCAGCAGCACCAAAAAAGCCCAGAAAAACTTCATGTTTGTCGCGCTTGAAGTGCAACGGTGAGTAAGCAAGAAATGGACGAAAATGTCCTTATCTTCAGTTGCGTTCCTTTATATACATGTATAAGGGCTCTTATGATATTCACATTTGATTTATTGCCATCTTTAGTATTGTATTTTATTATAAGTGTGACAGTTTTAAGATTTTTATTGTTAAAATTTACTATTAATCACTTGAGGTAAAGCCTGCAGTCATATAGTTTATCTTTGACTAACTAAAAAAAATTTACGTGAGAAATGTTCAATGTTGTCAATTTTTCCTACTTCTTTCTGCAATACCTTAACCGACTACCAACAACTCTTGCTTTAAACTACAAATACTTCCACTCAGGAGGAAAGTTAATTTTAGACGTACAAATTTCCACTGAGGTAAAAGTATTTGTTTTGCAACTTTTGTGTTGACCTGGAGCTATTTTAACATGCCAGCGGATATTGTGCATAAACATTGAACCAGACGACATGTGTTGTTTTCACACGACCATTGCCTCTATGGTTAACACCCGACAATAAACATAATTCACTGCCCTTTTTTATACTTCATTTCAAGTTCTTTCTTGTAACAAGAAGGTAATATACAACTGACAACAGCCTCCAGTTTAATTCCGGACTTATTTCATATCTCCGTATCCTCTAAATCCATTCCGTATCACAATTCTGCAGAATTCTAGAACTGCAGCCAGAATTCTGGGAACCGGAGCCAGAATTTTGCAGAATTCTGTACAGTAGTATGATTCATACTTCCTAAATTCGGAGAGGTAATTTTCAATGTTACCTGCACCAGTGCAGGTATGCAGAAAAAAAGGATTTCGACCCTTGAATTGCCACGTCGCTCTATTTTGTGTAATACTATTTACACACAGAAAGATAAAACGTTCTGTTGCGAAAAAAAACAAGATAAGAATTTCCGCCCTACGCATACCCTTTATAAGCCTGAGTGTATAAGTATTTGTCTATCTCTAACAACTTTGTGACTCTAGCATACACGGCACGTCTGGCTTCACGACAGCTATGAACTTCAAGGTTTTACTGCTTTTCGCAGCGTTGGTGGCCATGACTAGTGGTTAGTAAGGTTTTTGATTTTATATTTATTGTTAGATTATCGGCCAATAATATGCAGAAGTGGCCAACATCGGTAGAAATTAACAAAACAGATAATAGAACCAGCCAGGTGTTTCCTTCTCGTAACCACAGTAAACCCTAAACGTAGCTAGGTACTCATTTTTACTTGTGTCAAGTGAGAAAATAAGTACTAAGTGCTTTTCCCAAGGCCTTTATTGTGGCCTGCAGCTGATAGGGGTTGGACTCAGAAGTCCAGCTATAAGAATACCTCAAAATGGAAACGTTTTTTTCAGAACTTTTATAATTTGTAGAGGTAAGACGTCCTTGTCTTGTAGGTGAAGGTTAGACTTCCAGGTAATACGATACGCCAAAAACAGTTACTCAAGCAACTAGATATGATTTTGGAAAATCATACCCAGTTGCTTGCGTAACTTTTGTGCAAATCATTGTCTTGTTTTTTGTTGCATCTGTGTCTTGTTTTGCTCTCAGGTTGCGGCCAGCCGATGATCGCACCTCGTATTATCGGGGGACAAGATGCTAGAGACCACAGCTGGCCGTGGCAGGTAGGTGATCCTACACGTGCCGTTTCACTATCAGCTACTTTCACCAACTAGCCTTGTATCCTAGCCTCTATCAGGCTTCAGGAGGCGGCTGGAAAGAGTAGAAATCGGTCAAATAGAGAGTTAACATGCCAGGGGAGTTGGTCCGCTGGAGAGTACAGTTTGTCGCACCCGAAAACTGTACTCTCTAGCGGACCAACTCCCCTGGCATGTTATCTCTCTTTTTGACTGACTTCTACTCTTTCCAGCCGCCTCCCGAAGCCTGGTAGAGGCTGCACTTTGTGGATCTACGAGTGCTGTTTATTCTCTGCCATACATTGTACTAGTTTAAGTTGTTGAGCAGTAAAGTTGATTTGTAATACAACTCGCCTGTTCCATGTTGTCAGGTTTCCCTCCAAACCTCCAGCGGCGCTCACTTCTGTGGAGGTACCCTGATCGCACCACAGTGGGTGCTGACCGCAGCGCACTGTAACCAAGAGTAAGTATCATTTTAACATCCGTGAACAGTTTCATCAGGTTGGTAAGTCACTGAGTAAAGAGACTCTTTTTACACAACCAAGTCTTTTATTCAGCCGACGTTTCGGTGACCGTCTGTCACCTTCCTCAGGGCAATTCTGACTGGTTCACATTGCACTGCAGCACAGGTGTCGCTGCTACAGATGCATTCCCAATGTGAACCAGCCAGAATTGCCCTTAGAAAGGTGACATCCGTTAGACTTTTAGTAACATTTTTCATATGTCTACCTGAACAACAGTTTGCGGACGGCCAGAGTTGTCCTGGGTGAACATGACCTGGCCAGTAACTCTGAGTCTGTCCAGGTGGCCAGCATAGTCGGGGCCCTCCCTCATCCCAACTACAACCCTCAGGTAGGTATGATGGCACGCTCATCATCAAAGCTTGTGTTATACATGAGCAACATCTTAAGAACAACCGAAGAAACCGCAAGTTGTTTAAACTTGTTGTGCATAGCTTGCTATTTTGCTTCAATGATTTTCATATATCTATGCCTATGTAACAGTGGGGTTCAAGCGCCGCTAACTGATCCATTCCAATGGGTCTGGACCTTTTGGAGTAGTGGTTAGCGCGCTGGTGTCGAAAGCCGGCTGCCCGGGTTAGGCGCGGGTTCGATTCCCGGTGCCCCCGGAGTCAGGGGATTTCCTGTTTCTCCTCGCTGCTATTTGTTTCACTCGTTCCTACACGGGCCCTGTGAGTGATGGCAAACTGTTACAGGCTGGGCCTCATCTCCAAGCAGATCATACGGTGGCAAGGCAATATCCATTGGCCAGAGGAGTGTCTATTAGCCACCGAAGTATCTGGCCAATGGGTACTGCCTTGCCACCGTATGATCTGCTTGGAGATTAGGCTGGGCCATCTGAATGGAGCTGTTTTCCTTCGTGTTTGTCCCCTTAGACCGTTGAGAACAACATCATGCTGCTGAAGCTGTCCCGCCCGGCGAGCCTGGGCCGGACGGTGGACGTGGCCTGCCTTCCGCGGGACGGGAGCGGATACCCGGACGGCATGACCTGCTGGAGCACCGGCTGGGGCTTCACGGCACAGGACGGTACGTACATTTTTTTGTACTCAACAAACTGAGAGCGTTAGGGGGTTAGGGTACAGGTTAGGACCTGGGCCGGACGGTGGACGTGGCCTGCCTGCCGCGGGACGGGAGCGGATACCCGGACGGCATGACCTGCTGGAGCACCGGCTGGGGCTTCACGGCACAGAACGGTACGTGTACACGGGGCACCCTTCTCAGACAACTGTTACAGTATACTACTACTTTTCTGTCTGTCCGCCTGTCTGTGTCTTTGCCTCGATTCCTCACGGCTAGATATGGTACGTGCAGTGCGTACACACTGAACATTTGTCACTCTTCTCAGGCTATCTTTAATGTTAAACGGGAGTGAAGTGTTGTTTTTGACCTGTCTCCTTTCCACTCCTTTTCTCTCTGTCTTTGTCTCTCTCTCCAATATGCACCAAGAAGCGTTGACAAACACGTCAGTGGTATAATTGTCACGCTGGAACCCTCGCAAAACTGGGGTACAAGATTAAAAGGTGAAGTCTGCTATCCGAGGCTGATTGCCCTGTTTTGTTTTGTTTTGTTTTATTTTAGTTTACAACATCTGGATATCAACACATCGTAGTCTAGCCTGGGTGCCATCCTATTTGTATGCCGGGGCTCCCGTACTCGCTCCTTAAGCTAATCCTATTCTTCCTCACAATGTTTATTATCATTATTTATTATCATTAGGACCTATCGCGAATGAGCTGCAGCAGGCGGACCTTCCGTTGCTTAGCAACGCTGAGTGCAGCTCCCATTGGTCAGATTTCTACAAACCTGAGAGCATGATCTGTGCCGGGGCTGAGGGGGCGGGCGAGGACGGGGCATGCCGGGTAATTATGTGCTACATTTGTACATGTAGCCTCCTGTGCAGGACTCCGGCGAGTGGGAGTTTTGATACTGCGTTTTGTAGAGAAACGCGTGACGGGTACAAACCTTCAGAAGTATGGACGGCTGGTTGTAGGATGGCCGGCAAAAGAACGCGTTAAAAACTCTACAAAACGCAGTATCAAAACTCCCACCAAACCAGAGGTCTGCACAGTAGGCAACAGTGTATATCATGTATCTTCCTCACCTTTTTCAGTTGATCTTGAAATTTAAACCTCCTTGGTTCATCCACCGGCATCCTGATCTTCAACTCAACTTTCTGCCTTCATTCTGGATTTTCTGGCCTCCAAGAATATATAGAGATGTTCATAGATTGGAACTCATCCTGTTCTGGTCCTAATACGCTCCTCTGCTTCACTACAAAATACTGAGAGTGCCAAGATGTCGTCTCCAACTAAACAGGCCTTCAAAGTCTCCATTTCCGCGAGTTTTAGTGACGAAATGTCATCAACTCAAACGACGTTCACTTCGAACTCAGCGCGGTAGACATTTTGATGATGATGATAAAGTAAGCCACCCCTCAAGGGCCATATGCCTCAGCCAATCAGAGCTAAGCTTACATTTTACGACCGATTCCAGGCTATGATGTTGCTGTTTCTTTCCAGGTAAATTCTAGCTATGGTGTAATGTTATAAAAGGCATCCAATGCGATTTCAGGACAGCAAAACTGGAAATATTCTGAATAAGGCAATCTTTGTGATATTGATACATACTTCTTCTCATTAGCACATTTTAATCAGCATTTCATACTCTTGAAACTTTTGGGCACTTAAAACGTTTCTCTGGGCACTTAAAACTAATTACTGGGCGGTACCCTAAAAATGAGCCCAGGGCTCTTTCAGTAACCATTTTCCGTCAGAATTTTGGGAATGTTTGCTCCATGAGGGTTAATATACACTGGGATAGTGTGGTTTCAGCTCAGTATGTAGATAAATGACTAGCTATATAGAATATTGGCTTTGAAAAGTAGGGCTTCCAAGCCCTAAAAACTGCATTGGATGCCTTTTAAGTTTGTTTTTCATTTTACAGGCTGACTCTGGCGGCCCCCTTGTCTGTGAGATCAACGGATCGTACCATTTGGTGGGGGTGGTCAACTTCGGCTACGACACCTGCAGCACCAGCTACCCGACAGTCTTTGCGCGGGTCAGCGCCTTCCGCACCTGGATAGACGGCGTCATGGCGCGCAACTAATCTGATTGGTCGTTCGGGGAGCGTCATGGCGAGCAATCAATCTGATTGGTCGCTCGTAGAGCATGTCGTTCATGATAAAAATATCGCTGGTCGCTTCTCAAAATTAGGCTGGAAAATCAGCACTGAATACTTAATTGTTTTATCAATAAAACAAAATAAAAGGGTTGCTGAAGGTTCGCTTCCTTGATTTATGTACTTTGATCGGCACATCCGCAAGAAACAAAACTGCCAAATGAATTGGGACTAGCAATAGGCAATAATTGTTCTCCCAAACAAATCAGGGATGTTAGAGGCAAACGCTGTTAGTGGTGTATGCCTCTGTTTTGGGGGGTACAGTTCCTATCCTTGTACATGATCCCATACAATGATCATAGATGCTAAGGCGTCCTGACGTAAGGATGTACACTTCGAACATTATAATTTGCTTCATGCATATGACAGGGGACTAACAGATCGTTAAAAGTGTTTTAAGCTAAAACTTTTGATCCAATACAACAAAGTTCTCTCACCTAGAGCTTTAGTCAGTTTACCAGTCACTCTGGTCTTCCTCAGTAGACTGACCCAGGGAAGCTTGTCACCTGGTTTCTTTGAAGTGTGACGTCAACACTGGGTCAAAGGTATCTGGTAGTATTGAGTAAGACCAGAGTGACTGGTCGAAAGCTAGCGCTCTAGGTGAGAGAACTTTGCTGTGTTGGATCAAAAGTTTTAATTTTTTAAAACATTTAACTACCAACACAGATGAACTTTCATGATAGATCTTCAAAAGCTTAGCACTGACTCCAGCGTACAACGAATGAAGGATAACAACGTCTCAAACAGGTTTGCGTATCACCCACGTTTATTATTCCGTAATGACACGACCCACAATTAACAATCACGTGTTCTCCACAAGAAAACAACGACTAGGAACTGTGGGTAAAACTGTCACCAGCCGGGCCTACTCTCCAAGCAGAGGTTTGGGTTTTGGCTTATTTTTGGCGTGTTTTTAAGCCTTTTTATCCTTGCACTGGTATCTTTTTTACGTCAACCCAACCAGTGCAAAAAAAAAAAAAAAACTGATAAAAAACGGCTAAAACACGCCACAAATAAGCCAAAGCCCGAACCTCTGCTTGGAGAGTAAGCTGGACCCATCTATGGGCCATCCCTGAGCAAATCATGACATTGTGTAGAAGAAGCAGTGCTTAATACTTCCCTAGAAAAAAAAAGGGTAAGTAGATATTCCGTCTATCACCATATTAAAAAGAAAGCATTGCAAACATGTTGTAAAGTGTACTAAAATGTAGACACAGAAAGAATACAATGGTACAATTTTCTCTGCAGTTCCGAGTTGAGGTCAGATTGAAACGATTTTATCGTAGAGTATTTCCTTTGAAAACAGTTTGTACCCAAACTGGGTGTTACAAATACATCAATAAGACTCAATAAAATGAACTTCCACCAATCTTTAGTGCTACTAAAATAAGCACAACGCGCGCAAAATGACGATGAAGAGACTAACACAACATAATTTCTTCATGTGCCCAACAAGTAGCTTTTTTACAGCAATATATACATACAAAACGTCCCACATACAATAGTAATACGCCACAACAATGGCCTGGTTACTTATAACGACCCTTGTAACCACGGGATACAAGTATGTGCCATAAAACTGACAATAAAAAATAAGCGAGCATAAAATATTAAACATAAAGCATCTAACGGACAATGTAAGAAATCGCAGATAAATTCCATTTCTTCCTCTGTCCTCTGAAAAGAACAAAGGATACACCCAGAAAATAGAGACTTCTTTCTACTTAAGTCTTCTCTCCCTTTGTCTTTTAAGTTAGAAAATACGTATTCTCTCTCCCGCAAAGTAAAATATTTTTTCTCTATCTTTTTGTCTTCTTTTTTGTTAGTGTTGTATGTCTTTTTTAGTTGTTTAACATCACATTGATTCCAAACAATATGGAATACATCATATATACATACATACATACATACATACAGCTTTCTCCACTTTTACACTCTTGTTTCTCTGCTTTCGTACTCAGTTTTACGTACAAAAGAAACAGAATTTCAGATGCAGCCTGATGGCAGAAAATGATGAAATCCGTTGTTTCAATCATCATATTTTCCCTGTCTTCTTTAGTTTGTTCCTCACATATTAAGTGGCAGGTAGCTTGCCGTGTGACCGTCCCCTGAGTTTAAACCAATCTTTGTGTAGAAAAACGAGTGTATTATATTCAAGCAAGGGTGTTCAGTTCATAGCATATCCTTCCAAATTCGGTTACTTTCTGTCAAATCGTTTCTTAAAAGATAACATTGGAAAGAGTATGGCCGTGTGAGAATACTTACTAAGTTTTAAGTATCTGAATATCTTTACTGCATCCTATTGCACGGACCTTTGATTTCGGGACAAAGTTTGTATTTGACGTTATGCGCTAGCTTTGAGGTTGATTGTGTTTCATCATGTCATAAGTACTGCCTCACATACGCTCCAACTTCAATATAATTGCACCTTGGTTCTTGGTAAAGGACATGGAAACATTTTTTTGACGTACATGTAGAGTATGACTATCTCGCACGTTTTGACGATGAGGTATGCAGTGATTCATCGCCAACAACCAAGTAATGGCGTGCTCATATTCGTCTTACGATTATTGTACGATCGCAAACTATGCATCCTTGGGATAGCCATTTGCGTATCGTACAGAACTCAGTCGTCTTTTCACGAAAAAGGATGTCTTAGACCCTTTGTCTGCAGTTATAATGAGTTCCGCCACAGCTTGCTTTCAAATTGTACGACATATAAAAATCGTTCGACGAACCACAACGAATGTGTCCGGGTCCTGATCAAATAGATCTAGATCTGTTGATGAAACATAGTCTCTACCAGACTAACTACGCTGTATATAGGAGAATATCTGCCAGGGGAGTTTGGCCGCCTTGGGGTTTGAAAGAAACAACCTTCCAGCGGCCGGACTCCCCTGGCCAATTTTACTCTCCTTTTTTCTACGATCCGTATTCCCGTAGAAAGGTCTGGCGGAGGCTAGAGGAAACACATGTGACCATTTCTAACATATTTGCTAGCATACTGTTATACATATGCCGCGGTTGCGTTCTCTCCACCCATGGGGATGGATATCTCTGTAGGGATTGGGGGAAGGGTCTTTATGTCGTCTTCCCATCTCAGGTCCTTCTCCATTTCTTTACTTTTTCTCAGCAGGTAGATCGGAAGGGCGAAGTTTAGCAGCGACGCAACGAGGAGACCGACGTTGATCTGTGAAACGGCAAATTGATAGTCAGAGATTACGTCTTACAAATCTAACACTAACTTGCATTCTGTATTTTTATGTTTACCGAAGAAAAACATATTGTTTTTGCTTTGCTTCCTCTTCCGTTCCAAACACAAAAGGTCACGCGACGTCTGTCACCATGGTAACTGGTGTTGGGTTACATCATGTTGCAATTTTATAGCAGGAGGGATTTAGACTCTTGTCACCATATACTAGTATATGAATGTGTTTGAGTAAAAATTAACAGAGCAAACCATATGTGAAGGTAAACATTATTATGCATTTGCTTTGCAAATGCTACCTTTCTAGTTTAAGAATAGTATTTTGTAGTTTGTAGGACAGAGAGGAGTGGAGGAGAAGGACCCACTGTTTCCCGTGCTGACATCCCATAGATTTCACGGTTCAAGGTTGTAGTTTCTATTTTCGGAAATGGCTTACCCAGAAAGGGTCCTCCGCGAGAGGCCCGTTGACAGCGATGAAGATCGGGTACTGTAACGTGGCGAAAGCAGCATGGAGAAACGCCTGCAGCCCGATCAGACTGCCGAACAGGGAGACTTGAAACCTGCGGAATCAGCAAAGTTCATCACACTGATTATTCTACACAATAATAATGATGTTTCACTGGACACTGTAAGAATATTAGACACAGAACAAGAGTATTTCTTGAGAGGGGTGAAAGAGGCGATATACATCAGGGCCCATCACCCATCACTTGACCACGACGGGGGCTGACGTTGTCTATCAAATACCTTTTACCACGGTAAAAGTAAGTATTTGTGTAGACTGTAGAATAACGCACTGTTGCTCACATACAAGTATATGACTTTTAATCAAAAGTTATTGTTAAAACGGCCTGCTACTAACTTCTGTATCTGTATAACCGCCCAACTTGTGTATTACTATTCATTATCATCATTTATTATTATTAACAACTATAGGATGTTGTACTTACATGATTGCAAAAAGTCCCGCTGTAGCTGTGTGCATGAAGGCTCTAATGACGGTGTGCAACACAAACGTGGCGACCTGTTGGGAAGAAAAAATCACAGGACTGTTAGTTTACAGGACTTATGAATGAACAGAGCAGAATGTCGTTGGTCTAGACTATGTGAAGGTGAACATGATGCATTTGCTTTGTAAATGTTACACTCCAAGCAGAGGTTTGGGTTTTGGCCTATTTGTGGCGTGTTTGTAGGCCTTTCTTTTTGCACTGTTCTTGACGCTAACACCAAAAGCCTAAAACACGCCAAAACCCAAACCTCTGCTTAGAGAGTAGCAAATGTAAGGCTTTGGCCCTTATTCCAACACACAGTTTACACAGAGATCAAATTTTCAGTGACCACTGTCGCCTTCATCAGGATAAGTAATGGCCAATCACTTCATTAATTATCCTGATGAAGGCGACAGTGGTCACTGAAAATTTGATTTCTGTGTAAACTGTGTGTTGGAATAAAGTTCAACGTTTTACTGTGATTACTACCAACAAAGATGAAATTTCATAAGCCTTTGACCCACCTGCACCACGAGGTTAGGTATGAGCACGAGCACGCCGAACAGCAGAGTCAGCAGGTTGGTGATGAAGAAGGCCATGGCAGCGTTCCACACCTTCTGCACCATGATGCGCGCCTTCTCCTCCTCCGTCAGGGAGATGCTGGACCGGACGGACGGCCGGGACGAGGTGGAGCCGGTGGAGCCCGTGGAACTGGTGGTGGTACTGTTGGTGCTGGAAAATTATTAACAAATGAATGAATGCGCCAAAAACAGTTACTCAAGCAACTGGATATGATGTTGGAAACGGTAAGACATTTCAGGTAGTATCCTCTATCTTTCGTCAGTGACACTGGCGTTTTTACCTTCGCCAAAAGGTTATGTTTTCAGGGGCGTTCGTGTGTGTGTGTGTGTGTGTGTGTGTGTGTGTGTGTGTGTGTGTGTTTGTGTGTAAACACGATAACTTAAGAAGGCCTTGATGGATTGTCTTGATACATGTATTTGGTAGGTGGGTAGGTCTTGATGAGACCTAGAAATGATAAGATTTTGGGCCTCCTGTCGGCTTTCCTTGGTACTGCAGCAGAAACTCCGGTTTTGAAATCTCATGATCTGGACATGCTAGGGTCACGAATTTTGCATGGAAGATAGCGCTTGGGAAGAAGTGACATTAGTTAAGTCCCCCTGGTAGCTTGTCCTGGAACTGCAGGAGCGTTTGTTGAAAAATCTTCAAAGGAGGAGTACTCATCGTGGAGAAACAAATCTCGAACATACCGCACGGTTTCCGCAGAGGCAATGGACCGATCATCCGCAAAGACGTCGTCGTCTGATTGGTTGTTTTCCGGTGGTCGCGTTCTCCAGTCCATCAGAGCACCAATCACAGGCGCCGATATGAAACAGCAGATTTGCACCAGCCCGAAGATGTAGGTGTAGACGTCAACTGCGAGGACATATAAAGTTAATACTTTCATTCAAATATGTAATATTTTAGCCTGAAGGTGAAAAAAAATCGTTTGTTAGATCAACAAATTAGATTGCCTTGTCCCAAGCAATTTCTAATATTTTGGGAGTATTTCTGTCTTCCCTGGACGTTGAGAAATACGGAGAGGGTCGTACGTGTCAGATAACCTGTGTCGCCCCCCGTCTCTGTTCAGGGGTGCGACACAGGTTATCTGACACGTACGACCCTCTGCTGCAACCACGTGTTTCCGATGTAACGTCCCGAAATTGAAAATGGAGGTATTGTTTTTAGCACGCGCGCTTTTAGCACGTGTGTATGTGTGTGTGTGTGTGTGTTTCCGCACATTTGTAGTCAGCATAACTTCAGAACGCCTTTTAACAGCTGCAGTATATAGACGGGTCCATTGTCGGTCGAGAATTTGGGTAAGTCTCAATTTACTCAGTGTTGGTCACAACATTTAGCCTATTTGTCATAAGGTAGAACGTACTTATTTTGGCGTCCTGTGTGAGTCCCTGCAGTAGTTCTGACAGAGTTCCGATGAACACCATGAGGCGGAGATGGGTGATGCACATCACCATGGCGGCCCCCAGGAACGCGAAGGTACACACGGAACGCCGGAACGCAAGGGCGCCTGGGAGGAACAAAAGTTACAAAACAATTAAGCGTTATCTGATCTTTTATCCTTGATCTGTGCAGATCTGTGGAACTTCCACAACTATACATTTAACAAAACACAAGACAATTCCAAACTTAACCAGAAATGATCAACAGAAATAACTGCTTTATTTTTTGTTTGTTGTAAATACATATCCCTAAATACTTACCACCTCCATTGGCCACCTCCACGTTCCCACCATAGTCCAATGCAAGCCTGGCGAAGTACAGTTTACAGTTAGCCACAAGCATTTGAAATCATGTATACAACATCAGGTATATTTTATCAATATCAATCAATAGTTATTGCTTATAAACCTGCCTTTCTCCTGCAGTCTCTAGTGTCACTGGCGAAAGGTACTAGTGGGTGCTACCTGAAACGTCTGACCGTTTCCAAAACCATATCCAGTTGCTTGAGTAACTGTTTTTTTTTTTTAGTAAGTGAGCACCTTACTTTGATGTGTATGTTTCACTCTCTTTCAGGCTGTGTCCCACGCTCAGCCTCCGTCCAACAGTAGTAACCATGGAGTAGAAATTCTTCCCGCTGATTTTGTTCTGCCGCCCGAAGAGCTGGCCGGTGTGAATGGTGAAGTCCATGGTCTCCGGACCGGGCACGGGCTCAGACGGGTAGTTGACGACGCAGTTGACAAACGCCAAGAGGCTGCCAGCAGCCATCACCATCATCATGACCCGGAAGGAAACACCAAGGTCAAAGATCGCCTGCAGGAGAAAGAACAAGGTATCGTACGTCACTTCCGGGTAATGGACGACGTTTGAATCTTTCTTGATCACTGCCTGCTCCTGGTGTAACGGACAGGCTTGGTGATGCCAGACAGTGAACTGGCCATCTCAAGCCTGATGAGGAGCAGGCAGCGACGCAGGCATAAACAAGTGGCGAAAAGACGTTATGGCTTTTGTACATTCTAAAACAATTTTATAACAATTTCCAGAATAAAGTTTTCATCTATAAAAGGATACTATGATTTTGAATTTTGAATGTGATGGATATGTACTAGTCTGGTGCCATACCTCTTTTCGAAATTATAATCAGTATCTCTATACCCCGGATGAATTTTTGTCAAATTTGACACGAATTTTTTCTTGACTTTAATGGGTTGGACTGTGCCATTGCAGATTTTTTAAAAAGCTGTTGTTTTACTTCGGTTTTGGTGAGTTTGTTTAGAATGGCCGGGTAGAACTCGGGGATAGAGAAACTGTCGTGTACCTGCAACACAATCAGACTCAGTGTGTTAGAAATGCACAACAAACCCAAGCCTCATCCACACACATCCACACACACACGCACGCACAGCTCTAACATCATACTTCTTCACTCCTTATACTCCAGCATTCAATTCACCCTCAAAAGCCAACTTCAGATTTCTCATTCCAAGCCCAGCTAGCTTTAATCTGTCCCTTTAGCTGCCATGCAAACTTATATATAGTAAGCTTTTTGCCATAATTATAAGTCCCATACTTAATTTTGCTGAATTTTGTATCAGTGATTTTTTTCTTAATCATGTAAGTCTTCCGACCCTTTTCAGAGCACAATGCACACATTGTTTGTTTTTTAAAATATAATTTTGTGAAGTTTGGGGTCGTGTGGCGTAGCGGCAGAGTGCTCGACTCGGAACCAAGAGGTCCCGAGTTCGAGTCCTGACATACCACCGATCCTGTGCCCTTGGGAAAGACAATTTACACGACTTTCCACACTTTTAAAACTCAAGTGAAAATGATTATTGTCTGTCCTGTATTTGTTTCTATGTGCGGGACACAACACCAGCAACAGCTGCCTGTGTCCCACGTGTTTTGTATTCATAAAATCCAAATTTAACACCTTTTCTGCTACCCTTAACTGTGAATTTTGACTGATTTTGCAAAATTTTAGTAGTAATGAGGCCAAATCGAATTTTATTTCACTGTAACGCAACGTTAAATTACTTTTACACAACCGCACGTTAAATTACTTTTGTAATATTTCTGCATATTTGTGGTATGATTAAGATTTTAAGCTTTTATGTTCTTAATTTTATGTTCACATTTAAACTACATGTGTGTAAATACCTGTTTGTTGCATTTGTAATTGTAACCAGGCCTATATAAGCTATATAAATTCCTCGATAAGCTATATAAATTCCTCGTTCAGCAGATTTCAAGAGTCTCGATGCTAGAGACAGATTTGAGTATATCTTTAAATGTTATGATTCCCACAATGCAAAGATAGGTAGACTGCTTTTTAATTATAAAAAATACCGAAAGTCGTGATTAGCCCCTCTCGATTGTGACACTTTATCAAAGACTTGTGCTAGCTCTTGTTGTTTGATACTTTGAGTAATTAGGATATGTTAGGTTTTTAATTCTTCATAAGGTCTTATTCAATACATTTCCTCTTTTTTTGTACTTTGCCATACATTGTACCATGTGCAATTGTCTTTGAGTAATTAGGATATGTTAGGTTTCATTCTACACTTAAGTCTTATTCAATTTCCTCTTTTTTGTTGTACCTTGCCATAAATTGTAGTACCATGTGCAATTGTCGTGCAATAAACTTCTATAATATTACATAAATCATATTCAATGATTCCTTCACTTGGTCGTAACCCTTATACCTTCATAACGGGGAAGACAATAGCTGAAGAAGCGCTCGACCCCATCATGGCGCTCAGGATGGTCGACCGCGCATGCCCGAAAAAGTTCGACACCTCCAGGGCACAAAGAATCAAAATTTTGTGATTTTGACATCAAATTTATTCACAAACTCTAAGAACGTATCAACGTACGGATACACCCCGCTGGTACGGTCTTCCCTCGGCTGTCTGGAAAGAAGGCCCTCCTCGTTATACAAAAACTCACTCTCCAACGTCAATCCAAAAAGGAAAGCGTATTGAGTAGTACTTTCACATCAGTTAAATTTACCCATGAGGGAATTTGAGAGAATTACCACTACTGAATGCTGCTGCGTCTTCACGTCTGTAAATGAACTTCAAACCGTTAACCGTCACCTAGACCTCATTACATATGCAAGCCCCGCCCACTTGCGATGACGTCGGCTGCCCTAACCTGGTTCTAAGCTATCATTGGCTGGCCCCGTGGCTGGAAGCGAGAAACAGGTTGAATTTGTCTAACACTCAGAGATGATGCTGAGACCAGTAAGCACTAGTACTTTGCCCCTTATCGTAACTGAACCACTTTGTAATGTGGGTGTTCAGCTATAACTAGAGTTGCAGGTCCACTAGGAGTCCTGGAAACAAGCAGGATCTATTATTTTCTTGCTGGCAGGCAGGAGCTGGAATCATAACTACCCAGTCATAGAAAACAAACGTCTTTAACACACGACTAGCACTATAGACTGTCCGCTGAAATAGCACAAAACTGCAGGGTTGTACGAAATCGTAATAAAAGTGAGTTGCTCTCAGAGTTTGGTTACTCGGGGTTTTCCTACAACTTACGGCCAGTCTACTACAAGAACTGCAGCAGTCGTCGTCAGCTGGCCCCAGCTTTCCTGCAATCTAAAACTATAAGAATTTACTCAAATGTTTGTTAAATTTGAGGATACTTTCAATCAATTAAGCAATGGTATGTGTTGACATGTCCAAAAGAAGTTAAGGATACTGTAACAGAGCGATGCTGTTAGCTTCAGGCCGAAACGATTAAGGTTGATAAAAAAATTAAGCCATTGCTTGCTTTTTCTCTGCTTAGAGCAAATAGGAGGAGGAGCCCTCTTAACATGTTAGCAACATGTTGTTGGCAAATTTTTCGGATTGCAACTCTCTCAAAGATTAAAGCATGTTCGTATTGGATTGCTTTCCATCCCTTGGCATTGACTAAAAACCTGGGGAGCGTTACTTATTCGTTAGTTTTCGATCACGTGCACGGCACACAGTTCACACATGAATGATGGGAGCACAAAGACGCAAAGCAGCTCGGGAACTTCAGCATAGACCTTTTCTCTGATCCCATTGCATGCCGGGAGACGCGAGGTATTATGG